TTATGTATTCTGTATAACTGCATGCTGAAATAGGTTAGTGAATTTGACACTGACCTGCAAGCATGTAAAGTTGGTTAAAATAAGACAACCGTCAGCAGCACAATGTATAACATTTAATATCCCATGTGACCTTTAATTTTCTGTATGTGTGTGGTTCTAACGTTTAAATAGGTACAGACAGACATATCTGAAGATACAAATCAACGCGTATTAAAATAATCCAACGTACATTCAGTATAGAAAGATATCTGTGTGTGTGCGGAAAACTCAGCCTATTTAATAATAGCACTTCCATGTCACTACAGTTAACCTGACATATTACATACAAAGATATACATATTATCAGCAAGGGTAATTATGTTCGTACGTACACTCCCACACATTGTATACGTGTTTATGTCATATGGTAATATTCTATTTATAGCTTTTTTAATGATTAAAAATCTAGTCTGAACGGTGAACACACAGTAAACAGTATTCGTCATTATAAATAAAACCAGACAGCTCACACGAACTAGCTGTATTAAATATGGAACGGTCATATGCATTTCGGGACGATGACTATAAATCAGCTTATGTGTTGAGAAAATTTACCAAGTAATCTTAAGATGTTGAAATGTGTTTAGGTGATATAAATTGTGAAAATAGCCTCCTCGGATCAGTCCTCCATACACGTGGGTGATAAAATTGGTGTCAATTGATAGATAAACCACATGTGAAATCACAGACTACCAAGTAATCTTAAGATGTTGAAATGTGTTTAGGTGATATAAATTGTGAAAATAGCCTCCTCGGATCAGTCCTCCATACACGTGGGTGATAAAATTGGTGTCAATTGATAGATAAACCACATGTGAAATCACAGACTACCAAGTAATCTTAAGATGTTGAAATGTCAATTGACACCAATTTTATCACCCACGTGTATGGAGGACTGATCCGAGGAGGCTATTTTCACGGTTTATATCACCTAAACATAGATAAACCACATGTGAAATCACAGACTACAGCCACAATAAAATATCGCACGTAGATCATATGGCTATCAATACACGTAAAAGCTTCATCTACTTATTAGCCTTCATAACAATACATACATCTTGTTTAATTGGCCAAATATTTAGCATTTCCTTCAATTTGTATTTAAACCTTCCATCCTCTGAAAATGTAATACAGCCGTCTTATGGTAATACCACTGATAACAAGAGAGAAATATTGAAAACATCAAGCGAGCTCGTTGCATAGCTGAAATGTAAAGCAACGGACACTAAGTAGAAACTTATTATCTTTTCTTTGGTGAGTACAAGTATCAGATTGATACGTTGGTTTGGCCGGAAACAACTAGTAAATAAAATTTAATGGTTTAAATCTGAAGCTATCCGCTGTGATGATTCATTTTAAAATTAGCTAATCATATGGATAACTGTTACATATGGAGTTAAGTTATATCATTTAACTTCAAAAGGACACATTTTAACCTCGTAAAAGAAGGAATTAGAGATGTTTAATCCTTGGTAATATAACAAGATTGTACACTACACGACGATTGTGACAAATCGTCAGTTATATCGTAAATATTAATTTTAAAGTATAGTCAATTAACGCTACTACCAATGATAATATATCAACTTAGGACTAATACACAGTAAGTATAATTACAATGATAATCCGCAGACCTTAGGTAATCCACTCAGTGGAATAAAAGTAACACTTGCATACTGATATTGTAGACGTTAATTATTTCAGTCGACAGAGTTTCAGGTACTACATGAAAGCATGAACAGTGAAACCAGAAACTAAGTTTTCAGATCCATCTTGCACATCATGACAGATCGAAAGGCGTGAACGAAGATGGCATTACAAACATCACACATGCTGCAGCCTTAAAGAATGTATAATTAGATTGCTGAATGCGATCATTTAATACTTATGTAACAAGATTATACGAATAGCGTTGGTTTTGTATGACAGAAAACAAACTCACAGACAGTTACAAATAATCATACGTTCATAAATCTTCCAATAAAAATTAAGATATTTCCTTCTACAAACAGGAATATTAAGATACTGATAAATATAATAATATACACATTGATTGTTGAAGTTACGAAAAAAAGCATGAAAGGATCAACTGAATATATAGAACACATTATAGTGTACGATCAGATCAACTGAATACAGAAGATATGGCATACTTAATTGTATTATTATTATTGTGTATTCTCAGAAAATGGATTGAATACAGAAGATATGGCATACTTAAGTGTACTATTATTGTGTATACTCAGAAAATGGATTGAATACAGAAGATATGGCATAATTAAGTGTATTATTATTGTGTATTCTCAGAAAATGGATTGAATACAGAAGATATGGCATACTTAAGTGTATTATTATTATTATGTATTCTCATAAGATGGATTGAATACAAAACACATTCTAGTGTATATTTATCAGATCAACCGAACTTGTCAAGTATATGAGCACAGAAACTATGGCATCATTAATGGAACCATTCTTGTGTATCCAGTTCAGACGGTCTCAGATGGAGGCCATGACTACATTACTGGAACCATTCTTGTGTACCCAGTTCAGACGGTCTCAGATGGAGGCCATGATTACATTACTGGAACCATTCTTGTGTATTCAGTTCAGACGGTCTGAAATGGGGGCCATGACTAAATTACTGGAATCATTCTGGTACGTCTAGTTCACACATCTCAGACAGAAGTCATGACTTCATTACAGGGATCATTCTGGTACGTCTAGTTCACACATCTCAGACAGAAGCCATGACTACATTACTGGGATCATTTTAGTGCTTCTAGTTCAGACGGTCTCAGATCGAGGCCATGGCTATATTACTGGGATCATTTCGGTGCTTATAGTTCAGACGGTCTCAGATCGAGGCCATGACTTCATTACTGGGATCATTTTGGTGCTTCTAGTTCAGATGGTCTCAGATGTAGGCCATGACTACATTACTGGAACCATTCTTGTGTACCCAGTTCAGATGGAGGCCATGACTACATTACTGGAACCGTTCATGTGTATTCAGTTCAGACGGTCTGAAATGGGGGCCATGACTTCATTACTGGGATCATTTTGGTGCTTCTAGTTCAGATGGTCTCAGATGTAGGCCATGACTACATTACTGGAACCGTTCTGGTGCTTCTAGTTCAGACGGTCTCAGATCGAGGCCATGGCTATATTACTGGGATCATTTCGGTGCTTATAGTTCAGACGGTCTCAGATCGAGGCCATGACTTCATTACTGGGATCATTTTGGTGCTTCTAGT